AATACAATAACAAATAACATGCGAGTTACACGTAATTTTAATTACAATTAATCTGCTGCTTGAAAATACGTATCCTTGATATTACTAGTATTCAGAATGGATTTAATTGCATTAATGTGGTTTGGTTACCATTTAAATAGGTTTCCGTATTCATCAAAGCTGCAGTTTCCAGCGGTAAAGCTACCGTAATTGCACGAGTTTAGGCATTAAATAAATGATGGATTTTGATAGCTATAGCTCTGTATACATTTTGTGGCTTCTGCAGGTTTTATGATGTGTATTTTTGTACTGCGGTGTATTACACCATTCTCGCAGCTCCAAAGCGGACCGGGTGTCTGTATGCAGTGGAGACGCTACAAATAGCAATATGCCTACTTTTACTACAAGAACTCCATCTGTTGTCAATGTGATTAGAGCGATAGATCATGTAGGCGCAATTGACGTGTTCTGAACGAGCGCTCGTGTCCTGATTTATGATTGATGAAGAGTTCCAAACTGCATTTCCTTTCCATTGAAGGATCTGAACGATAGGACTCATATTTCACGAATGTAACTCAATTTACTGACAAGATATTTGCCACCGTAGTATTACTGAAGTGGCGAAATAGTTGGAATAATTAGTTCATTAACTTATCACTTTCAAAATTCTTCATTAACTATTTCAGTCCTTGAGACAGCATCTTCCTTGAGTAGATAATTGTCCGATATTGGTACAAGTGTATCACTGCACCTTATCCTATCAATGCATTTCTCCGCAATTGTGTATGATGTATTTCCATCTGGCCGTGTCATAACTCAGGCCCGGGTTCTAGTCCAGGTCAGAACGTACGAGATTTGTGATGGTCAAAGTGGCGATGGGGCAGATTTTCTTTTCCGAGTACTTTGCTTTCCCCTGCCAATCTTCATTCCTCCAGTTGCTCCACAGTCATCCTCACCTATCATCTGGGGCTGGTACAATAAGCCAGAAGTGGCCGCAGTACAAGGGACATAGTCTCACCCCGCTAAGAATAATATAAATTAATATGTATCTCATTCTAGGTCTAGGTCTCCGAAGTGGGTTCTCCTCCACATTCATTCCACAAATCCGCCAAGGCACGTCGTCGTGATGAAAATTAACTTTTTCGAATTATTGTTATTGATGCTCATTTACGTATATCTCAGTACCTTTCAACCTACGTTTTTGCCTTCGAAACGACTTATTTCTATTACTTTTTTGTTATTCCATCAACAGAATCATTTGTATAGGTTCACTGCTTTAATTATAATTTTATTATTAATATATTTTGACATAGAATGGACATTACATAGACATAAGAAACCTAAAATGGTGAGTAAGTACTCCCGTTGCATAGACATGGGCCAATGTAGGGAGGACTAGCAGAAAAGGAAAAAAAAAATGTAAATATAAGAATTTTATATTTCTGAGGATGACCAGTAAGGCCGAAACATATAGTAATTAATAAAAAATATATAGTGAATCTATGCAGACTGTTGTGATAAAATTCACGCAGACACGATATAACGCTGCTGTGTGGTATGCTTATACTGCATAGTGAGGAGCTTCATAACTTGTGCTCTTCTCCAAGTATAATTAGAATGATCAAGTCAAGGAGGATGAGGTGGGTAGGGCATGTAGCACGAATTGGGGAGACGAGGAATGCGTATAGGATATTATTGGGAAAGCCAGAAGGAAAGAGACCACTGGGAAGACCAAGGCGTAGGTGGGTGGACAATATTAAAATGGATCTTAGAGAGATAGGATGGGATGGTATTAATTGGATGGGTCTGGCTCAGGATAGGGACCAGTGGAGGGCTCTTGTGAACACGGTACTGAACCTTCGGGTTCCATAAAATGCTGGGAAATTCTTGAGTAGCTGCAGAATTGGCGGCTCCTCCGGAAGGGCTCAGCTCCATGAGTAAGTAAGTAAGTAGTATGATTATTCCTATCAAGTTAGTGAAGCTATCCTTGTGTGCCTACGTGTATTAGGTCAGTCAATCAGTAACTCGATAGGATCAAGTAACGGTAAGCCCAGCATTCCCAAGATCCCGTAGAAGGGGGAAGTATAGTCTGTGAGGCTAAATCCATATTCTTTGTCAGTGATGTTATTGTTATTACTGCCTACCTATCTACCACTCGGCGTTACAGCCCTGGGTTTGCCTTGGCCTCCTCTAGAACCAGTCTCCACAACCAATGACTGCTGCCATAGGAATTGATCCACACATGATGACTCGAGGCTGGTTGTTAGGTTTCTGAACAAAATTCTTTTTACTGGATGAGGTTGTTAACTTCATACCCAACCTCCAACCTGGAGAACCAGGGTATCTCTCTTAGTCTGGACTCTACCCTTTGACATTTCCGGCATGGATGATGCTACAGGTGTTTGAACTACCACCAACATAACTCTGCAGGTCACACAGTCACGCAAGCCCCACCACCACGACAAGGTGGAGACACCGGTGGGGGATATTGTTATTACTGTTATTGCTAATAACTTACGTTTCAATTTAGATAACATTAATTAATTTAGCTTTTTCTTTGTTTATTTTTTCCAGCCGCGTGCCTTTTGTCTGTATTGGTGCTGGCTCTGTAACTGACCACTGCCACTTGAGCTCCACACATAATTAAATGGATAATTATTATTATTATTCCTGATAGCGAAGGCAGTAAATAACGGTCTACAGATCAGACGACCGGGATCAAATCTGACTAGGGGAGCTTCGCTGTCGTATCCAAGCCGGCACTGGGGTACACAGCGCCGTCAGTTCGATGTGTTCTGGGCCCTCCTTCACTCGGTGTGATGATTTCGTTCCGTCTGTAGACCTGTGCATTTCGCTTTGGTTCTGTCCTCTCCAGATAAATCTTAATTGTTTTGTTGGAACTGCATTGTTGTTGCCAATAAACAGTCGGTTAAACGGCCGGAGCATGAAGCAGACCGTTAAGCTTCATCTCATGTCGATGTTAATGAAATATGTGGCGTGGTGCTTAGGCAAAGGGACAGCTTTACTATTATTACTATTGCTATTGTGTGAAATATATGAAAGGAAATGTAAAATTATTCCTGTTCTTAGTTAATTAGGTCCGCCTCTGTGGTCTAGTGGTCAGAGTTCCTGGCTACAAATCCAGAGGTCCCGGGTTCAATTCCCGGCGCTACCAGATTTTCTGAGAAGTATTGGGCCTGGAACAGGGTCCGCTCAACCTCGTGAGGATAATTCAGGAGCTGTTTCAAGGAAATAGCGGCTCCTGTCTAAAAGCCAAGATTAACGTCTGTGAGGATCCACTGCTCTGACCACGCGACACCCTCTGTCCTCCAAAGCTGGCACTAACTTCGCCGACAAGCGGAGGTCGCTCGGTCGGCATAGTTCGCTTGCGGACTACAGGCAATTGAGTTTTTTTGTTTCCTTAGTTAATTAAGCACTACGCCGCGAAGACGTATGGGGAAGTGGGGCTTTAGCTCCTCCATTCTTGACCTCGGCATCAGATGGAAGTAAGTCGACAGCTTCACGCCCCAGCCGCTTCACCCACAGGGAAGGAGCCTCCGGTGCCCATTGGAGAGTAGGCTGGGCGGGCAGCAGAGTGGGGCTGGACGCTGTGGTCTTTTTATTTAGGCGTTTCTCTGAGAGGTCTTATTACTATATATCTACTTATTTAATTCTGAGTGAAATGTACTTTTTGCTTAGGGGTGTACTGAGAAGTTGGAGGGCGACAGAAAAATGTTAGGTTGGAGAAGGGAGGAAATGCGAAACCAATATCGGAAAACAATTTTTCTTTGAACCAGGATTTTCTCTCACGGCTTCTCTTTTCTCCATGTTGATGGCCAAGAGAGACCTTGTATTGTGTCTGTGTTGTGTCCCTCAAACCCTTTTCTGAAACAACCCCCTTCTCCTTTACTACAACCCCCACTAGATCTATACGTTCACTCCGTCACCCCGTTCTGTATTGCTGCGTAGGGAACTCTAATATACAGATCCTGAAAGCCATATTGAAGTTACAGACACCCTGGAGTGTGTTCATCTGATACTACGCTAGATGTGATTATAAAGCCATACATCATACCTAGGTATAGGGAAACACGTAATAGTCATACAAGAATTGACGCGCATTAATGGGAATTTAAGTAGCATTTCATGTTTCTGGCTGGCGAATGCTGAAGTACGGTATTTTAAATGCCGCTGAAGTTTCCTTCATTTGAATATAGAGCGTAGTATTTTAAACGGAGAGCTTATATGTATTTACGTCAGTTATTTGACTAAAAACATTTCTACGGATGATGGGGAATGCGTATGATATCTATAGATCCTAAAACCCTAAGAAAATAGGTCACTTCGGAGGAAGTGAAGTAGATATAGGTAAATTTGTCCCTGTACTTAATCATTGAAGCACTGCGTCTTGAAAGTACATGGGGAGTGGATGTATGCTTGATCTCGACAATAGTTGGAGATGAGTGGTCAGTTTCACGCCTCGGCCACTTTATCCTCTGGAAGTGAGACCCCGACACACATTGGATAGGAGGCTGGGTGGGCCACAGAACTAATCTGGACGATGTGAAGAGGAGAAACATCTTGTCCCTACCGGGACTCGAACTCCAACCCCTCGACCGTCCAGCCCAAAATCAGTCGCTATACCGAATGCGCTCTTAAGATATTAATATTGTCACGTATTCGGGGTTTGTGTGACTAATACTAATTGGTTCGGGATTTGATGATTGAGTTTACTGGCACTTCTTTACAATTACAGTTGATTATGACGGCTCACAATTAATGAGCGTCTACGACTCGAGTACTGAACTGACTTCTGAAGTATCTTACGAACGAATCTTGAATTCACGAATGAAGACCGTTTTATAACCGCGAGAGAACCGAATAGAGATCACGATCTCAAAGGGTTCCACTACTCTTCATGAATACGTTGTCTCGGATACGTTCCTGCACCATTGCCTAGCAACGCTGTCAGGCTCGACTATTTCGATTTTTAGGCAGTGTTTACCGAGCCGTTGCCTAACTAAATATCACCACCAACGCCATGGAATATCTAGAAAATAGTGATAAGGGCGAAGACGCCGTAGAGCAGGGCGCATGGATAGGCCACCAGTGGCTGCTGGTGATCCATGAACAGAGCTGTAACGAACAGCTTGGAAGCTGACAGGCTGCACCAGGCAATAGCCAGGCCAGTCAACACGAACCCCGTGAGGCCCTGGAGAGACAACACAACGTTGATGCCCGAGAGGATGACCATTGGCAGCAGACAGTAGCCCAGCACAGATACCATGGTCCCCAGAGTGACAGCCGACACCGCCATCAAACTCAGTAGAGCGTAGATGCCCAGACAGCCCATCACTCCGATCGCATAGATGTAGCCGAAGTGAACCTTTCCAGACAGAAGAAGGAAGGCGCCAAGAGCAAGGCAGAAGACAAGCGGGCCAGCCAAGTCGGTGTCCTGCAGAACGGATGCGTCAGTTGTACGGCTTACTATCATGGAAACATATGTTAGCGAGCCTTGTCTGGCAAAGGATTATTCCGGCTTTCAGACCTCATGCCACATTATTCAGACGGAACTTAAAGTAGAGAGTGGGGCATGGACTAGATTAATGTAATGCATTTGCGGGTCCATGGGATCACGCTAATAAACTTCAACATTCCATGAATTCCGGCGAATTTACACCCACCTGAGCAAATGTAATCTTCTCAAGAAAGACTCTACTACATTGAATTATTTCATTCAGTGAATACTTTGATATCTCTTTCGTGATGAAGCTCAAGCTCTGACCCCCTTGCTGGGCAAAGTCATGCTCATTTGTTTGTCTCTGTTCACATTTTAACACTGTATATGTAAATATGCTTCGTGTGCCGCTTTTCACAGTAACGAGAGGCATTATGCATTCTGTAAACGAGAATGGGGCGGTGTACTCCAGTAACGTTCATATACAGTAAGTTCGTAAATGATCTGCACGATTTGAAAATGTTATTGCTCATAACATATGTACGAGTATTTTCCAGATGAATTATTTTCGGTTCTGAGGGCCTCGTTTGCCGTGGTGTTAATTTAGTGCCAATTTAGTGCCCATTAGTGCAAAGCGAATATAATTACAGAAATTATTCCTCGTAAATTCAGAATCTACTTTCTCGTATCAAGATAAATATTCATCATTTAAATATTGTTACATGTACATCCATTGCTCTGCATTATGTCGGTAATCAAGTTCCCGCGAAAATAGATTCTTGGAAAACCGTCCGTTTCTAGGTTACGCAACAGTAGAGGAAACTATGTTTTCTGTATTAGCGGTGACGTCACAATAGTGGATAGTGTTCACGTGATGTGTTTTCTGTATATCCTACCCACCCGTCAATAGGCTGGCTGGATAGCGATCACGTGATGTATTATTACTATGGGTCCTTGTCCCTTCCTCGGCTACATAAATAAAGCAGATGCAACTTAACGAATAGCAGCGGCAGAAGCACGGGAACAAGCAAGCAAGGAGATTTTTTATTGCTGGTGGGATGGGACTAAGTCCCTTATACTGTGGCCGCTTCTGGCCTATTGTACCAGCCCCAGATGAGAGGTGAGGGTGATTGTGGAGCAATTGGTGGAATGAAGATTGGCAGGGGGAAACCGAAGTACTCGGAGAAAACCTGCCCCAGCACCACTTTTTCCACCACAAATCCCACTTGAGCGGACCCGGGATCGAACCCGGGCCGCCGCGGTGGGAAGCCAGCGACTAACCGCTTGAGCTACGGTGCGGCCAAACAAGGAGATAGCCACGGATGTTTGTAGTTGAACAAGAACTAGAAGTCGGCCTGTGAGGACTTAACACGTGATTAGGAGACTTTATTTATGTGTAATATTGTGGGTGTGTGATTGAGTGAGGCTGTTGTAGTTCCCGTGTTATAAGCACGTGAAAACTAGTTCAGATAGAGTGAAGAGATTAGTGTGGAGTGATTGTACATTGTGTAAAGCAGCAAGAGTTTGATGATTAGTTGTAGTTACGACCTGTAAATATCCAGTAAATCAAATTACAACTCTAAACCCGCGTCTTAGTCACTGTGTGACACGTGACAATATGTATGTCAAATAGACGACTTATATTGATATCAAATTTGTGTATATTATTCCATATACAATTTTCTTATTAGATCAACCGTGTTTTGGAAAACTGCTGAAGTTCTGTTTCATTTGAGAATAGCTACTAGCATCAGTTCTGTCCAACAAGAGAAAATTAAGAGCATTCCATTTCCAATTCGACAAAATAGCCACTATAATAACAATACCACGCCCCTCCGGGAAGGGCCCCCTCCCACTACATCCTCTCCCTACTAACCCTGGAGACAAGCCAATTAAAACAACAGCATATATATATATATGGGGACCTACCACCAAATTCATTTAAATAATGCAATTGAAGCATGCATTACAATTACAAATGATTTTCATTTGATTGGAACAGATTTCCAAATTCATTTACTTGCCAGGCTTTTACATTGGATAGGTGTAACCATAGTTACAGGCTCCACATATATTTACTTTAAATATCAAGCCATTGCGGCTGCCATTAGAATGCTACTTTGCTCTCTATCCTTTATAGGCATAAGAGTATGCTACGATATTTCCACAGAATTTTTGGTCATGTCTCTACATTCGTTGCTGCCATGATGGTAGGGTCTGCGTTACACAAAGAAAACACCACTTAAAATTCCTTACAGAATTTGTAAACATCTGTTAACTGGAGCTGAGGTATTACGGCATTAAAATGTCTTAAATTGTACTGCAGTTATGTAATATACCCGTAAGTGCTCTCCTTGTGGGTGTTTTTTTTTTTTGGCAGTTGATGACATAGCTACATGTGGCCTAATTTTATTTTGTCGGTTACTGGTTACTTGTTATGGGCAGCACTTCGTGGCAGAAATCGATCGCTGCTTTCCTTGTGACACTTTCACTTACACTTTCACTTCGCTGTGACAATGTACGTGTATATAAGGGAGGGAAAGGTTGGAGGTTTGGCACCACTGAGTTGGGATAATAACATAGAATGAGGTGGCCACCGGGTGAAAGTTACAATTGGATTGCCGACTACTCAGTTTGGTAAAGATGAGACTCGATCACGGGATCTTCTCAGGCCTCGCTTAAAGAGGCGAAGGGAACAGTTGAGCAGAATAAGACTTGCTTGTAGATGATGTCACTGTTACTAACCTTTATTACACGGGCCGCGCCATAGCTCAAGCGGTTAGTCGCTGGCTTCCCACCGCGGCTGCCCGGGTTCGATCCCGGGTCTGGTCAAGTGGGATTTGTGGTGGACAAAGTGACGCTGGGGCAGGTTTTCTCCGAGTACTTCGGTTTCCCCTGCCAAACTTCATTCCACCAATTGCTCCACAATCACCCTCACCTATCATCTGGAGCTGGTACAATAGGCCAGAAGTGGCCGCAGTACAAGGGACTTAGTCCCACCCCACTAGCAATAAAAAAACCTTTATTACACACTTTCATCACAGCAGTACAAGCTGATCTGGTTAGCACCAATATGTATTTTCTTTAATATTATCTTACTGCTACAACACTGAATATTTTAACTGAGCGATAGCTTTTAAGCAGCCATTGTCTTATGACTTACTGGTTTCCAGTCGCCGATCACAGTGGCCGCGCGGGCTAAGGCATGAACAGTCTTCGTCTGCTCAAAGGCTGTGATCATGGGTTCGAATCTCACTTAAGGCATGGATGTCTGTGTGCGTTTATTCTGTGCATGTGTTGTCCTGTGTGTAGGTACCGTCCTTGCGACGAGCTGATCCCCGCCAAATGAGTTCTACGGACTGTGTATAGGATTAAGAAAATGAAAAATCTGCCAGGGTTAAATATCATGACATTTCTTCCGCAGGGTTTATATGAGGGGTTCTTTTGATTCTCAGAAAGAAAGTACTGTTTTCTAGGCGTATTCAAGAGACTCATCTTTCTATTGGCTATTTTGTACTTTTTCTCAGAGGAAGAATCATCCTTTGAAATAAATAAAATCAGTGTCTTAGTATAAAGGGTTAGATTATTTTACGTTTATTCCCAGAAGATGATATGGGGTACCTGTTTCTAATTTTGGATCTATCCTTGGTGAAATTTGTATTTTAATGTTACCTGATGGTGAGTCCGCTTGGCTGTACGAGTGTTCATGTGTTCATTCTCTGACAGCTCGTGGCAGAGCTCACCACCTGCCACATGGTCTCTTGTTCCTGGATGAAAAATTTGTAAAATCGTGAAAGCCTCGAGACAGATGTTTCCACCACCACTCTGCTCATCGTATATTATGTATATGAGAAAGCTATAAAGCCAGAGATGGAAGAATATTATTAAAGTGTATATTAAAAAATGAATTGAATTCCGCGCTCCTTGGATATGCTCTTGCGGGTACGTGATCAATTCTAAGTTTCTATGAGAACAAGGATTTCCGGGTTGGACTTGTTGCAGTAGCTACAACTGCTACTTTATTGCAGAAATTACTAGACATGAAACCTTCCCTTGTCAAAACCACGTACATATAAAAAATGTACGAAGGAATTCATAGGGTGGCCTGCTGACTCTCTTGTATATGGTGAAAGAATAAAATTCTGTTTGATTAAAGTTTTTGTTGATGGAGATATTAATGTTGTAACATGAAAAAATAAAAAAAAAGTAAAGGTATCCCTGTAACAGGCCAAGGAGGCCCATAGGGGTGTGAGATGTTTAGGCTCCCACATTTTGTAGACAGTCGGTTCATAGATGGCGTTAAGGTTGTCAGCCTTACGCGCCGGTCGCCCTTTACTCCCAACGATATTCCTGGTACTCATTTCTGTTAGAGGCTGAGTCGAGAAAAATCAATCTCATCGGAATTCGATCCCGCGACCTTCCGGCTTGTAGCATAGTACCCGGTTGCCCCCTACGTTGCAACATGTAAATGTTATAAACTATTATTATTATATTGCGTTATTTTGTTTGTTGAAGATCTTATTGCATAAACATAGGTCCTGCCTAAGTAAAAGTTACCGATAAGGTAAAGTTTCTCTGTGCTTAATTAAATAAGTACTCTCCCAAGAATTTGTATGGAGGAGTGAAGGTGTAGTTCCACCATTCTTCACTTCAAAAGTAGATGGAGATGAGTGGTTAGCCTCACGACCCGGCCTCTTTAACACCTTGGAAATCGCACCCGGTATCCACTGGATAGTTACCGGAAGTAATCTCAATAATTCAAGCGGTGACCTTGTTCTCAGTTTTAAATTTAATATAAATATTTAATGTACAGTGCTTAGGTGAGTTTACGATCTGTGTATGTACCAAGTTTCTTGTCTCCTAGATCAAGTAGTTCATGAGTTTCCCCATCAAGCCGATAAATGACTACCAGGTTTGGTTGAAATTTTTTCTATAGAACTGCGTAAATTCACGTTTCTTTATGGATATTACATACATGCTGGAAACTTGACAGTTGAGACTGTTCTTTATCTCAAATTTAGCAAAACTAGGTCAGC